TAGATAAATCTATAAAACGTTTATTATTTATGATGTGTAGGAACGCAATACGGAAACTAGTTATAAATATTTAAAATCCTACAAAGTTTTAGCTTAAGCTCGCAAGGACAATGGGACCGAGTGCCCTTTAAAGTAATAAAGTGTTGAGACGCCGTCCTTTGAGGGGCTCGCACGCCAAAGGATAATTACTGTGAGAACGGCTTCCTGCATAAATATTTGAAAAGTTCAAGGCGTCGTCGACAGTGCCTGGCACATGGCAGCACGTGGCTGAGGCTGACTGTCTCAGACAGCCTGGGAAAAACTGAAAGGGAAGACAACTTGTTGTCGAGTTAAATCCAATATTTTGCCCTGTTGAGCGCTTAATAATTCACTCGCTCGGAGCTCGGAGCGTGCGAATTGCCACATGACCTGAACTGAAAAATATTTAAAAAAAAAAAAATGATATAGCTATACCAAATTAAATTGCACCCAAATAAAGATATTTGAGTGCGCAGTCGACTGCTCAGACAGATTTAGAGACAAGTGATAGTGCTGCTTGCACAGTTGTTCCCGAGCCATATGAAATGCTAATTGCCCATTAAACAGTTTTGTTATACTATCCAATTTATTTTGACACAGTCCCCCCAACTCAGCCCCATCACACATCTAAGCCAATCCAATTGAAAGCGAGTACAAAATTCACAGTTGGCTCATGTGACGTATGCGTAATAACACTTCGAACTGTCACGCTGACGGCGTTTTACGCAGATGCCTTACTTATACTTATTGCATTGATACCCTGCGGCCCCAATATGATGAGCATATTATATGGTGTGTGTTAGAGTGTTAGAATAGGAAATACCGATAGCGACAGTTACTCAATTATAACAGGAATATATAACTTTGTGGTGTCTGCCTGTTATATACTTTTAACAAAACCATTGTACCCTGATTTCGCATTGTTAATGGGTTCAGGGTATAAAAACAAATAAGAGAGTCGACATCCCGACTACGGAATATACAGTAATATTGCATCTAAAAACAACAGAAAAGAGTAGAGTGAGATACCAAGAGCTACGCCCCCGCAATAGCTAAAAAGTATACAGAAGACAAGTAAGTGCCGAGAGTAGTCGACTAGCTAGTACCCCGGATTGGATCTTTTCTCAAACTGCAATTTATTCATACATACCCATACACATACATATGTATATTCTTATATTGATTTCAAATTTACCTACAATGAATTATTGCAAAATATCTATAGTTTGCAATATGATTGGAGCAAAAAACATCTGATGCCATACATATTTGTATCAAAAAAGTTGAATCAATATGATATCGATACTCAGATAGGTTATCGGAGACACAAAAGAAATATAATATTGTATTTCATAAGATAATTAAAATGTAAAATCACTAGCTTTTATTGTTTACCAGGTACAGACCAACAGAAAATGGGAAAATGGAAATTATATTTTGATTATATTTTGATTATACTATATCTACCTTCCACCCATTACATAAGCCTATACAAAACTACAATGCCCTCCCAACTGCATGTTCAATATTGCAGGGTATACAAGCCATTTTGTTTCGTGGGCATAAAAATAGCTGACATTTGGGACAGGTCTGCTTAATGGTGGTATATAAGTCTCGCAAATTTGAGGCATATGCTTGCAGGTGCTTTAATTATATATTTGCAATCTATAATTTACAATTCAATTAGATGATTCATTTTTGTTGAGGAAAGCATTTTATAACACTAAGGCTTCTTATAATAAAGTATATAATGTTGTTCTTGGAATGAATGCATCAATTAAATATTTCCACTAGCCATGCAATTAGCTGAATAGTTTTTATTTAAAAGTTCCAAAAACTGTACTCAAACTAAAATGCACAAAAAATTCATTAGCGGCTGATGAAGTGAAGTAAATAGGCTCATATTTAAAACATATAACTAATTAAATTAATTATCTAATATATCATTTGTAGAGTTAGCATTTACATGAAAAAAACAAACTCTTTCTTTCTAATTTCTTAAATATTGTTTATCTATTTTTCATCATATTCTAACAATTCCTTTTCCAAAAATAATAATTAATAATAAATAAATCTTAAAAAATTTTCTATTTCAATTTATTTATTTGATTTTCTGAATGGTATCTTACAATACTTTAAGAGTTTAGACATAGAAATAGGCTTTTTCTATTTTTCATCATATTAAAATAATTACTTTTCAAATAATACTATAATAAATAATAATAATAATAATAATAAATAATTCTTTAAAGATCTTTCGCTAGGCATTTATTTTATTTTACTTTAACTATTAAAATCTGAGGATTGCTTAATTTCCGCTAATATCATTGCTTATCAATTATATTTAGTTTTCATCTAACTTTATCAATAGAATTGAACAATTTGAATGCCAAGCTCGCTCTAGATAGTGCGGGTCTGTAGTCCAAATAGACAGCGAATGAGTCGAAAACGTGACTGAAGGCTGATATGCTGTCTAGTACTATAAAGCGATTATTTTTACTGTTAAGCCAATTAGTCCGACTTACTGTGGGTGGGGAAAGAGGGAGAGAGAAGAGAAACCCAGCTTTTTCTTTCGTTAATTTTTTTTCAAGTCAATGACTTTTACTGTTTGGCCTTTGACTGCGTCTCGTTGTCTCGTCTCCCCATTTAGCAGTTGTTGCACCCATCACATCATCAAATGCAAACTACTTCAATTCAAATTGATAATAAATGAAATTCGCTGATAAATGAATGCGACATTTGTTGGCATAATAAATTTACGCGAAATTTAATTAAATTTACGGCTGCATTGGAGCGTCATCAAATAGATAGCACCAAAGTGCTTATCGTGATTAGTTAATAGAGCCGATAGAGCTCGCGGAATGATCCATCATAATGCTATCTGTTCCAGGTTTTGTTTACCCTTGTGCAGTTGGTTACAAATTGACTCGCAAATTCTCTAACAATTTATATAAAAGAACAACAATCAAAAGAGCGAACTACTGCTCGAGACCCTAACATAAATATAAATATATTTTGAGACTGATTTTTTCGACAAAATAAAGTTTTTTTATTTTATTTTTAATTTACAGAATGTATTTAGATAGGATAGGATAGTCAGCTAGGATGATTGATAAAATATATTTATATCCATATTTTAACTAGACAACCTCATAGCGTCAAAATGAATTTGCCCTACATAACTTTACAGCATTGATTAAGCAGAAGAAACTCTTAAATTTTTATGATGTGTAGTAAAATAATATACATTATTAATTTCACACTATAATACTTGAATTCCCATTGAAAATCGAATGGGTAAGGTAAAACTTTCACTATGATTATCTACTACACATCATGAAAATTTTAGGGTATTTGCCTTAGCACCCTAGCCTATGAAAACGTCAGAGTATTATTATTAGAGCATTATAGTCCGACCAAGCTTCTACTCTTTGAAATTAAATTGTATTAATATTTAATCAATGCTAGTATGCCCATTTACAATAGTATTTGCTCCCTATCATACACCGTATCAGCATTAAAAGTAAACTAGAGATAGTGAAACTCAAGTAATTTTATCGTACTGTGTTATTTATATAATACTTCAGCTGAATTTTAATTAAAATATAGAATGTAAGAAATTAAATGAAAAGAAATCATTCTGTTCAGAACAAAATATTATAATATAATTCTGCAAATTTGATCAAGAAAATCAGATTCAGATGCTTGCATTCAAAAAAACAACTAACGGGTCAAACATGCTGTAAACTACAAGCGAACATGTTGGAGCTCTTTACAAATAGCAAATGAAATACAATCAACAAAGTGTATTTAATATTCGCCATGCCGAACAATCACACATAACTGTTCATCTTATTATTGTTTTTTGTCTCTTTTTTTAGTGTTATATGTCTCATTTGGTTGATTGTTGTAGATTGTATACAATGTGCCCATAATCGCTTATTTCCTGCCCGTCTCAGTGTGAGGCGGATCTGGAATGCAAAACACGAACTGGGCAGCTGACCGACCGTCTTCTTTGTGCCCCTTCCCATACTAGTTGGGATGAAACGATGGAAGTGAGGTTTTCCATTCATGAAATTACATACGCGTATTATTCAATTGAACGTGCGAGAGAGGGAGGCGAACAGAGGGACAGTAGCTGGCGCACGAAAGAGAGAATAAGGCGAGAGAGCGCCAAGGTTAATTTTATTTATCTGCTGCATGCGATGCGCGATGGCTTTTGACAGCTAAAAGAAAATAAAGTAAATGCAGGCGGAAGGAGCGAAGCAGCTGGATGAAAAATTATTGGGGAATATTTTCCTGTTTTCAGGGAAAAATAAAGACAGCTGCACTTAATTGTTGATTCTTGATTCTTTTTTTTTTTGCGTTTTTTATAAAAATGATTTAAGGCTGACACGCGTTAAGCGCATGCACACCCATACACTCACACACACACAAACACAAATTACGTGGCGTGGGCGGTAAATCTACCACGCCTACTGCAAATAAGATACACACCTTCATAACGAGCTCAAAGGGATATTTGTAGACGCGCACAGGCGATTGGAATTTTTGCACCATTTTGCTGCTGTTTTTGTTGTTGTCGCTGTTGTTGTTGGCACTTGACACTGGTTAAAAATCAATTTTTATTCTCTTTTTTATTGCACTGTTTATTCACACATACGCGCCAATTTTTCTATAATATTTGTATTTCAGTTGTAGTTTGTAACAGTTATGACAGTTAAATGTTTCAAATTTTGTATTCTCTTTCGTTGAAGTGTTTTGTCAAATTCGTTTTGTGTCTCTGCAGCCCCAGCGTTTGTTGTTGTGCGTGCAACTGCTGCAGCTGGCTGAAAAAGAAAGCCTTTCCTTTTTTGTGTACACTCCGCGAATGTTTGACTGCTTCTGTGCTAGCGATGTCGCAACTTATGGCGATATATCGATGAACACCTCATTTCATATATCGATCTGTTTGACGATGAATGCTGTTAAGTTTCAAATGTAACTGCTAGTTGGAGTATGTTTTTATTTGTGCGTTATATTTGAAAATCTATATTTAAAACAACTAAGATTCTAACTATTGATTTATAATTATGGAAACAGTATACAGCCGAGCATGCAACAAACGCATCTGTTGTACATACATCTTCACGTTTTCACTTCTCGTCCTCTTTTTCTATCACTTGATGTGGAATAACAGAAAAAGTATTATAGGACTCTCGCGCCTGCAACAGGACGTCAACTGCATATCCGTGAATATATTAAATGATAGCTGTTGGAATGTTCATTAATATCTATTTATTGTATATTATCCGACAGCAAGCGCTCAAAGTGGATTGCTCGACAATGAGATTTGACAGCTTGCCATCAGAATCGGGTACTTGTAACCCAACTATGGATCTAAAGGGATCCATATCATGCGAATCGACCGAATTGAATAATTGTGTGGAAACAGTGGTAAAACGCAAGATTGGCAGCCTAATGGACGATGTATACAGTATCAAAAAAAGAATTGAACAATCCGCATGTAAAGAATCACTGGAAAGTGCAGCCGAGGCAAATAAACAAGAAATATATCCACCTCGTATCAATTATGCTTCTGAGGAGCTGGGAGCTCGCATAATTTCCGCCCTAGCAAACCCAATTGCTGATACCAACTTGCTTAAGACGTTGCTTGGCTTGGAATTCAGTACAAATCCGCCTATTAATATGCTGAGGCCAAGCTTAATGCCAGGATCGTGTTTCGGTTTTCGAGGCAGTCAGGCAACGATTACACTACATCTAGCCAAAACTATCTATGTGGAGCAAATAAGTTTGACCCATGTTCCCAAAGAGATGACTCCGAACAAGTGTGTTAATAATGCACCAAAAGATTTTGAAGTTTATGTATGATATTTTTTCAGTTTTCATTCCGTGTGATAAATATTGTAACTTAGCTTTTTTTTTGGTTTCAGGGTGTGACTTCGAATAAGAAAAAAGAGCTATTGGGCAATTGGAGATTCAAAAATGAACCAAATGAGCGCACAGAGAATTATATTGTCAATAATAATTGTCCGTTTCGTATATTGCTTTTCAAATTCAACTCAAATCATGGCGCCAATTCTACTTGCATATATCGGTAATTATCAACATTGGAGAGTGATAAAATATTTCACATTGTAACATATATTTTCTACACAGCGTGGAAGTATTTGGCCAAGCAATAGGCGTGATTTAAAATGTCTTTGAAATAGTTTTAAAAAAATGTTTGTTAAATTGTTTTGAAGTTATTTAAACTGTTAATTCTTTTATCATGTTTCTCTTAACAGTTAATTAAAAACTACATATATCGTGAGTAACAGTTTTTGCGATACTTAATTTGTAATTGGTAACGAGTACATGGGTTTATGTGTATTTTACATCATCTCCCATCTCTAAGGTGTAGGCTTAAAGTTAGACATGAGCGATAACGATTATCGTTTTGGTTTTGGCAAAGATAAAATTGAAATAAATAAGTTGAAACACGATGGGTTGTGGCGATTGAATCTAAATAACAATAATAATCTTGTGGCATGTAACTTAACACACAATTACAACAGCCTCGATGGCGATGAGCAGGCGAAACTGCAAAGGACTATGGCAAAGGCGAAACAGAAACATACAACAGCAGCAGCTGCCACAGCAACAACAACAACAGCAGCCGCCGCAGCAACAACGACGACAGCAGTAGCAACAGCAACAATAGCAACAACAATGCCAATACCAACAGCAGCAACAACAATGATAGGCGCTGTTGCTGTGACGCCCACTTGTGTCGCACACATAGAGGACGAGGGCGGAGGGGAAGGATGCGACGGCGCTGCAGCTGACGACGATGACGGCGACTGCGCTGCAGCTGGCGCAGGCCTAGTCACCAGTGATAAGGCAAGTGTTGTTGTCGATTTTATTTTTTCTTCGTTTGTATTGTAATTTTCTTTTTTTTTATTATTGTTGGTGTTGCCATTGTTTTGTTACTTTTGTATTAATTGGAATTTTCACTGCAGCTTAATGGCATCAGTATTGGCGCTGCCTACAGTCTGATTCAGCTGCCAGCGTTGAATTGCGATTTGGCAGCCGCAGCTGTGGCGGCTGCTGCTGCTGCTGCCTCCGCACTCTCGCCCACCGATGCGGCAATTGGTGGCCTCAGCTCCAGTCGCACATCCATGAATAACTCCACGGAGAATCTGAGCTATGCCAGTGACAATTATTATGCCGACGATCTCATACTGCTCGATGACGACGACGATGACGAAGATGACGATGTGGAGGCCGAGGAGATATCGCTCAATTCGGATGACTGTGTCTATGCGTATCGCGGTGATGCCGCTGATTTCGACATGGCAGCGCTCGACGCTAGCACTGGACGTGGTGGACGCAATTTGGATTTTGGTCTGGTGCGTGATGATGAAACGGACTTCCTTGAAATGGACTTTGAGCCAGATCCCTCGTCAGAGCTGGAATTTGTGGCCAGCGCACAGGAGGCGGCGGCGGCCGCTGCGGGCCATGCGAATCTGCTGCTCATGCAACGCGATTACAGTCAGCTACAGAGCGGTCGGCACATGGCCACGCCCACTCAGCCAAGGCAGCTCTATAGCTCGCCCATAGAGGAGTTGGCACTGCCAGCACCACAGGAAGCACTGCAGCGTTTGAGCAAGAAATTCGCACGCATTAGCCTGAACTTGGATCAGATTAAGACCGATGCTGATGTTGGCTCGGATGTGGATGCCGATGAACTGCTCTGCGGCGCCAAGGACGATGAGCAGGACTTTGTGGATGCCACCACAGCGGATGCCAATGCACTCGCCCAATCGCTGCCTAGCACACTCGCCTACAGCAGCTTCAATCGCAGCACCAGCGTGCCCAGCGAACCGACTCATGTGGCCGAAGAGACCTGCAACTCGAAGCTGACGGGCGCCAAGCCCAAGCGTCTAAACACACTCTCCAACTCCTCATCCCTTGTGTCCGCCTCGAAGAGTAGCACTTCCGCGTCCAAGTCGCGTCGCTCGCAGCCCAGCTACGATGAGCGTTGCTTCAGCTGCACCGATTTTCGTGCCGTGTCGCAGCAACAGCACCATCAGCATCAGCTCCAGCTGCAGCTGCAGCAACAGCAGCAGGAGGATGTGGCGCCCATGTTGGTGGCAGCGGCAGCTGTGGTCGCTGCCAGCGCTGCGATGGCCAGCAGCAACTCGACGAAATTTGATTTGGGCAGCGGCGAGGAGACGTGCCTCGACTGTCTCGAGAAGGAGTTTCTGGCCAATACGATTGGCAAAGCGATCGACCTGAGCAGCTGTGCCAAGTGTCGGCGACGCGTCGGCGGGCGTGGCAGCAGCCTCTCGCTCTACACACGCGCCGAACAGACGCGCTGCCGCAGCGGCTCGCCGGGCTATTTTGATGAGTTTGGCGGCCTCTTCAGCTGGCACAACACGGCCGGTGACATGGGTCTATACAACCAAAGGTTTATTTCGTGTGATAATAATTTTGGCGGCAGGCAGGTGAGTGAAATGGATTACAAATTTGAAAACAAATTTAATAATCAAATAGAATTGGCTGTCTAAGAGAAAGTCAGTTGAATTTGCCTGAAGATCTAAATCATAGATGATCGAAATCATGGTATGAGTTTCTTTTTATCATTTGTTTTAAATATGAGAACAGCTTTACTTAAATTGTAACTTTGTTGATCTTAAGACGAACATAGATGGAACAGAAAATGCAGTTGATGGTCTCTAGCCCCAACTAAGATCTGAATACATCCTTCTTTATATAACAATATTGCCTTACAGCTTCCATTAAATTCCGCACATATCTATCTAAAGTAGTTTCAAGAATTTATTGAAATACCCACATCAACTCAATATCCAAACTAAGAACTTAATACATCCTTCACCTAATCCGTCTTAAATCTTTCATTTACTATCCAGTCTCTATATTTTATTGGAATACTCATACTGAAAATTACGTTCTCTCTCTCTCTCTTTTCATGAACTCCGCAACTGCAGCAGCTGCTCAAGCAAAGCTTTTCGACTGAACCGCTGGTGGCGCGCCTGTCCACGGCGCATCTGAGTGAGGAGCATCTGGTGCAGGCGCTGGACAAACTTCACATTTCCTACAACGCATCTCTGTTGCATGCCTATTTCGAGCGGCTGGCAGCGCCTTCGCCGCCGGCACGCGGCAATCTGAAGCAGCTGCTGTTGCATGTCTCCAAACAGCAGTGCAATCATCGCAAGCTCAAGAAGCTGATCGAGCTCATTGTGCAGCAGCAGCAGCAGCCGCAGCAACAGCAGCTCAGCGTGCAATTCAAGCGGGTAAGTGAGTGAAGGAGTGAAGAAGGCAGCTAAATTATAGACTAGTATATATATATATATAACTGTTAATAATATGTTCTTGGTCACAGACTAACGCTGGCCAAGCTGCTCTGGTGGCCGTCAAGGTGACGGACATATTGGCCGCCTGGCAACGTCATCGAGATCTCTTTGTGCTGCGGCAATTGGATGCACGCTTTCATCGCGCCAATGTGCTGGGTAAGCACTAGTGCCATAACAGAAACACTTGAATATAAACTTAAATGAATTACTTGATTTGCAGGCAAAATTGGACACATTGTGCGGCAAGCGCAGCAGCAACAACAGCCGGCAGCAAGCACATCCGCATCGGCAGCGGCTTCAACTTCAATCTCATCCATGCGGCAAGCGCTGCCCGAGTTTCTAATGATACCACAATATTATGCTTGTGGTGAATTAACATTGACGCGCAAATGTTGAAACCCGCCCAATGCACACACACACACACACACCTACACACAGCCACATTACATGTTTATGCGTGGCTGCATTTTATAAATTTTCGTTTTCAAAATTGAGATTCTGCAAATGCAATGCTCCAAGTTTATTATATACGATCTGTAGCCGGATTAAAATATTGTTCATAATATTTAAGCAGATGACATGCAAGCTAATCACATACATACAAATCAAATTTTAAATGTATTCACTCATGTTCAGTATTTGTTTTAGCTTTATCCACTATGTTTAAGCCCAAAGCATTAACTCATTTAGTTGTTAAAATTATATTATGATTTCCTACATATACATATATATTTTATGTCTACTATATTTTGTTTTTCGAATCACTGCATCTAGTCTCGATACACAAAAAAAAAAAAAAAAGAACAATAATGAAATTCATATAGAATTTAAGTTAATTTTAGTTTACATCAAAATGAATTATGTCATCCGCTTGAATAGTTTAAGCCATGTTAACCGTTTAGCTGCCGGCTCAGATCTGCCTTTCATGTATTCTAATTGCATTTGTTAGCCAATGCTGCCTGTTGCTAACAACGCTTCAATGTTTTATTGGCAGCCACGCATACATAAACGTTTGCAATATTTGTGAAAGCTGTTGCTGTTCAGGGGCGGGGCGAAAGTGGGCGGTTTGGTGAGTTGTTAGCAAAAAATCGAAATAATTAAGAACAAAAGTTAGACGCGTCTTTATGTATGTGTTTTAACGTTAATTACAATAACCGTTAATCAATTTGCAATATTTATATAAAAAGAAAAACAAAAAAAACCAATACCATATATCTAAATATGTTTATGTATATACATATGTGTGTGTGTACATGTCACGCCCACTAACGTATATCATAATATAAATTATATACATATATATATTTATTTATATATATAACTTAATAAATGTGTAGCGTATATATAGCTTAGCTTATATACTAATTACAAAATATACTGTAAGTAGTCAAGTAAAACCTACGCACATATATACATACACACATACACTTACACACCAAAGTTTATACGCTGCACTGGACGTGATTTATAAATTGATTTGAATCGAATATTTACTGTTGTTTAAGAAGAGACTCATTAAAACACATTTTGGCTGCAATTATAAGTTTATAAGCTGCACTAAGCGTGACTTAAAAATAAATTGCTAGAGCATATACATATATATATATATGTATATGGGTGCACAATGCTTATACGTGTGCAACTCAAATGTAATTTACATAAATACAAAATTGTAAATCACGTTTTAGTTGCTCTGAAATCACGTTTAGTGCAGCGCATAACGTTGATTCTGTATGTGTTTGTCAAGTTTACACGTGTGCAACTAAAACGTGACAAACACATATGCACATACATAATCAACGTTTATGCGCTGCACTAAACATGATTTACAAATTTTTTTTTCAATTTTTTTTTTGTTAAAGCATTTTGTGCTTTTAGAACAAGCTCCTTAACTTTTTAAAAATTTATGGAAATCAATTTTAGGCTAAATCACGTTTTAGTTGCAAGCGTGTAAACATCACATACACCCATACCCATACACACACGCACACATATACCCATATGCACATATACCATTACAATTCATAATGTAGCAACAGCTGCCCAGACTCCACTTGGACCACACCGCCCACAGTACCCCCCCCGCAAAAGTAAGGGTAATGCGAATAATGTTTTTTGTTTTAATAAAATTACGCTTTATTAATATTATTATATATTCACGTACTGTTGCTTCTGAATTTTC